CCTCCCCCCTAACTAAACCAAACGATGCAGCAGCGCAACGCGGATACAAAAACACACGTCTAAATCGCACGCCGCTGCCGCTATGCGGCGCCACTAGCCGACAGGGTGGGTAGAGTCTCTAGAAATAAGAGTGCGCGGCCAGAGTGGTCTTGTATTTTTGATTGGTTTAATGAAAAATGGCGGAACCAATCAAACGATGACTGAACACGTGGAAAAATTGAAAAGCAGATATGTGTAATTGCGCGCGCATGTGTACGTGCAAATATGTACATACGCTATTTTTAATCAATTACTGCAGAAATATTAATTGGCCCGATCACCAACGAGATACTATTAAAAGATCTGTTCTTTTTAGCTGAACTTGCGCAACTTTTATCTTTCCTCTTTTTTGCTCTAATGAGAAAAAATAAATTGACCTAAAGATCAGAGATATAGGAGCCTATTCTGTAACTTTTAACGACTGCAACGTAGAGAGCCTTTATTACAGGCTCTCTACTGCAACGATGTCGTTACATTATCATTGCGCAAATTTTGTATATTGCAAAATAGCTGCGCAATGATAATTTATAACGATATCCTTAGAGTAGCGTTAAAAGTTACAGAATAGATCCCATAAAAATTTTTGTGACTATCAAATAGCTCTGAGTACCCGGAAATAATTGTAGATCTTTGACTATTTAATATCAAATTATTTTAACTGTCTCAAAAATAAATAAATGAAGATCACTGGAAATTGAAGCATGTCAATTATTAACTGTTTCGGTTGTTCCAAAAATAAAGATTGTACCTTTTCCTTAATCACGGCTTTATCAATAAAAAATGATAATAAAATAATCTTAAGATTTATACATTTTTTATGATAAAACATTGATTATGTAAGTAAAATCTTTATTTTATTCTTATTACAGCCGCAAAACAGTTATAATAATTCAACGTTTTCCAATTTTCAATCGGCTTCCGGATGATTACTGACGTCCGTAAAAATAGTTACGTTCTGCAGAAAGCAGTTTTTCAAAAAAAATTGTTGTAAGATTCTTTAATATATAATTATAATTTATATATTTAAGTTCAGTAAAAAAACTAAATACAGAACTAATCAAGTTAAAAACTTTTACAACAGTTGCCAAGTTTATTTATTTGCTGAGCGGTTTTTAATAGTTCAAATTTTAATCTGTTTAAAATAAAGTTTATTTTAATTTTAATCTATTTTAAACTTGAGACAATCTCGTCAGTGGTCGAGCTCTTACTTCCAGAGACTCTAGCGGGTGGGCGCGCGCGGACGCGCGCTGTTGCCGGATCACCGCGACGGCGAGTAAGGGCAGATCCGTAGGGCGCGCGAGCCGAAAAATTGCCGCATTTTCACGACTGGTTGCTGCGCGGCCGCGACAGACAGGGAGGAGGGAAGAAGCGCGAGATTTGTCTTCTTCTACCGCATCGGCGGCTACCCTCGAAAACGGAAAGTCGCAAGAACGAGAGAGTCACGGGAAATCCAATATCCATCGGCGTTTCCGCAACCAAACGCTCTCACATCATGATTTTTTTTTTTAAATTAAAACCGCCGCCCACCGGCGAATTTGCGATTAATTTTCCAAGTGAATATTCGAATCGATATTAATAAAAATATGAAAATCGCAAGCCGATACGACACGATTGGATTACGGAGTCGATCTCGTTGCGATTTAAATAACTGGTGCTGCGTTTAAGAAAATTTAAAAGTATCAAATATGTATTAGTTTCGTTGCTGAATGCACGTACCATTTCAAACGGACGATTCCAAAATTTAAGATGCTGTCTCGCGCCTTTCGCGTCTGTCAAACGCTACGTAAAGCCCTCGTGAAAGGCTGAACGACCAAAGATTAAATGCGGACTTTCGTTTGGCGGCGTTTTTCACACAGACCTGTTTGTTGAGCACGTGTATACGGGTGATTACAATGCGACTGTGACGACGACACCAGACGACACACGAAGCTACCGCATCGCCAATGACGGGACGCTGCTAAAGGTTTCAAGTCGTCAGAAAATTCGCGAGATTTGCAAATTTCGTGCGCAGTCACGCCCTCTTGGAAAGTACTGCGGACGAACTGGGAAACGTTAACTACAGAACAATAATTTTACAAATATATGTCGAATTTTCACATTACAGGGGCACATAAATATCTGAAAAACATCGAGATAATAGCAAATTGTGGAAAAAATACCGTTTTATAGGCTAAACGATCAGATACTTCTCGAATAATTAAGAACAGTCGATAATGTCAGTGCTCTACCATTATCCCTGGAACGGTCAGACCCACATTACCGACCTAGCAGTTTCAATCACGATATCGCGTGTCACGTCGTCGCATGCCCATGGCCGGACGTGCGGGGGCACGGCGACGGCAAACGTACGCTTGGCAACAGCGCTGCTGCGTGCGGCGCTGATCGTTAGGCGATTTAAAGTATTCGCGCTAAAAAGAAAAGAAGCCGTACCGGGCGAATTCGGTGCGCGGACGCCAATCGGAAGCCGTTCGATCGCGAATTCTGCGCTATCGGGCATCGTCAGACATTTCTATTCGTGTTGCCGACCGATGCGATCCGCGTGCATTCTTCTCCGCGGCGCGATTCCCGATAAATCCTTCTAAAAAATAATAACGTCTCGCGAGCGCGGCGATCGATCCACGCTGCTCGTAGCCGGTGGCGCCGCGCCGCGGCTCGCGCTTCAACTTAACCGCCATCGAGCGGTAATTTCATTCCTGCAACGTCCGCCGCCATTCTCTGTCGCGATAATTCGCTATGCGAGGATTCATTATTTATTACCGCTTAAACTGTGTTTGTATGCTGTTAATAAATAACAGACATAATTAGACCATACATATAGGTATGTATATATGTGTATATGATACATATATTGTATTACACATATATATTTCATAAAATTTTTTATATGCAAAGAAACTTATTCGTGTGTCTCTCATGTAGGTATTTTTTTCCCGTCACATTTTTACCAATAAAGATTATGTGCCTTTCAACAAACGACACAATACAACACAATGATCGTCTCCTCCTTGTTTGCGAACAACAAAGATGTACTGATACACTGTGTTATAGTCACTCGTGTCATCTGTGTCGCTTGTTGAAAGGCACTCTAACTCGATTCAATTTACTTTTCATTTTCTTCTAGTCCTAAGAATTAAGAAAAAGATGGAACAATTATATACAATATAAAAATATACGGAATTTGCTCAGTTTTGTAATTTTCACTTTATACTATAAAATACATATTATACTTAATTATCATAATTAATATAATTTTATTATTTATTACAAATAGGAAAGATATAAGGACAGTGCGCAGTCAATACCATCCATAAGTAAAATAATCATTATAGACTTCAGATTTTTATGCAATTTCATATTCTTTTAGGAAGCAGATTGGAAAGTAATATCAAAATTGCAAAAATTTTAAAAGTTCATATTTGTACATCTAAAAAAAAAACCTATCTGCATAAGAGTCCCATGTCTATCGTACCCTCGGCAATCTCGGCATAATAATGCTTCAACAGCAAGAATTTAAAAATTCTCATTGCAGCCAGCATTCGCTCCCAACGTCGAATAAAAAGCTCTGTTTCTTAGGAATATTCCATCTTTAGTGGTCTACGAGTGGAGAATCCTAGAAAGCGCGTTCTCCTATTGGATGTCGTCAACCGCCGTGACGCGTCACCGTGCATATAACATATCAGGCGCAACATGGCGGCATGTCGCTCGTCGCTCGCTTAACGTTGTTTTGCGACGTCGCTTGTCGTATCCACGCCCGCAGGAGATCGTGAACCGCGCGTTCGCGGGTGTCTCGTGCACAACGGCCCGTGTCGTTCGTGAAACGACGCGACGCCGACGAGACGAGGGGACTGTCTCGAAGCGCGTCGCGTCGCGTTGTCGCTCCCGTCATTGCGAGTCGCGACTGATCGTCACAGTCGGTTACTCCAGTTGCTCCGTCACCGTTGCTCGCTTTACGGCTCATCATGCCTAGAACGACCCGCGCGTTGTCCCACCGGGTGGGAAATCGCGCTGTTGACGCCGTTAAAGGTAAGGATACATCACAGGACGACGTTCTCACTCAAGTATTCCGTACCGGTCGCGCGGCAGGTTATGTTTTCCGTGGCTCTCTTTTCCTCCCTTGCTCCATCTTGAACGCTGTCGCAGGCAGAGACGCTCCGGCTACCCTTTCTCCTCCACCGATCTCTCGTGACCCTCCCGTCAGCCCGCGACCGTCTCGCTCCGGTGTGTCTCGGCGCGCGACATTTATCGTCGTCGATTTTGATGCGTTGAATCCTGCAATTTGTTAATATTCGCGACACGATGATCGAAACGCTCGTCGCGATGCCGACGCATCGACGATGACGATTCTCCTCGTCACGCTCGCGACATGTCGAACTGAGTTTACTGGGCTAGAATGTCGGGTTTAGAAACTCTAAACTAACATGGAGTACGATAATTAGGATGTCAGTCTGTACGGCGATTTCGCGTGGAGCAGTGAAATCAACCGTGATTTTCTTGCAGATTCTTTGCACGTTTTTTTCGTCTTCTTGATATTGCGCGAATTTTGAATTTTGTAGCTTTATAGCCGCTCTATAAATTTCAAATTGATTTCATTCGTCAAATCATTGTTCTTTTTTTTTTTTTTAATATTTTGTATTCTAATGTCCTAACAACCTTAAACAATAATTTATTTAATATTGTTTGTAAATTTCATTTAAAACTTTGTCAATATTATTATTTATGTTAACACAATAGGCAAAGTTTATTTCTTATATACAATTTTGTTTAATCCTTTTTTTATATATTTTAATATATAATAATATATATTTATATATAATTAGTTATAACATTTAATATTATATTTCATTAAAAACTCATAGACTTAAATGTTATTGTTAATTATAATACAGGAAAACAGAAGAATGGCACAGAAAAAAATACAGGAAAGATTTTAACAAATAATGATATAAGTTTATTAGTGAAAAATGAAAACAAGCTGAATGGTACCAAACAAATAATAAATAAATTTGATACAGTCAAGAAACAATCTGTATTAGAAACATGCAAATCTTCTGTACATAAAGCTTATAGTCAAGTAAGTGTCTTGCGTTAAAATTTATAGTATGTTTTAAATATATTTGTTTTTTCTATTAATATTTGTGTGTGTGAATAAATAAATAAATTACAAAATTAATTTCTAATCATATGTATTACAATGTTTTTCATACATGTCATTTAATTTATAGGATTCAAATAACGAAGTTACAAAAGGGAAAAGTCTGTTTGTCCATTATCTTTTCGATAATGCAAAAACTGTTTCACCTTGTATTCAAGTAAAAGAGGAGATTACTTATGTAGAACAATTCAAAACCGATGGTACATAATCACAATTTTGTTTATATTAATTTTTCTCTTTTTAATTTAATTTATGATATATAAAGAGAGTGATTTTTTTTAGAGACACCGGTAGCTGTTCCAGTTCGTACGCCTTCTACGCCACATAGAATAAAGATGCCAACAGAGGATTTAGATGAAGGAGCTACAATTACTACCAATACAAAGCAACCTGTGATTACATTACTTAGTAATAGTTCGTTACAAGTTATAAAGAAGCCGGCTCAACGTGGACGTAAAAAAGGAACATCTTATCAGTCTGTCAATAATCGTTTATCAAAGCCACTGAACAATGAAACAAATCATTCAATCACTGACTACTTTCCAGTACGTCGTAGTGTAAGGAAGAGCAAGAAGGTTGTATTAGAAGAGAAGCAGCGTGATCTAGAACATAAGGTGCTTTGCCAAGTGGAAGATGGTTTAGAGGTAAACAGAGCCGTATATAATCAAGATTTGACAAGACCATTAGTATAATTTTTAAATGAGTGAAACAAATTATGGCAATCTATTTCCTGTTACAGGTAAAAAATTTTCCAGGTAAAGGTCGCGGTGTCATAACGACACGAGAATTTGCCAAAGGTGAATTTGTAGTAGAATATATCGGCGAACTGATCAGTCAGGGGGAGGCAAAGGAGCGTGAAGAGTTGTATGCACAAGACCAAAATACTGGATGCTATATGTATTATTTTCAACATCGCAATCAGCAGTATTGGTAAGATAATTCTGGATCTTCACATAAAATAATCACATTTTCTACATGGAATCCTATAATATTGTAATTTCAATCGAAACATAAAAAAACTATAGTATGCTAACTTGTACTGATTTTTAGTGTTGATGCAACGGCGGAGACTGATAAACTTGGCAGATTGGTGAACCATTCGAGAACCGGCAATTTAATTGCGCGAATTGTTGAGGTCAATTCAATACCGCATCTGGTACTTACGGCAAAGGAGAACATACCGATCGGTGTAGAGGTCTCGTATGATTACGGAGACCGAAGTCGCGAATCGATTCGACATCATCCATGGCTAGCGTTATAGCAGTTCCAATTCACTATTTATACAACATCGTGTTACATTGTACAAAAATTCATTTCATTTATATTCCTCCTATGAAGGAACCATATATCATGTATGTTGAATTTTCTATGTGGTACAAATTGTTCACAGCGAGACGCGGTGTATTAGTGTTCATTAATTGAACGAATTTGCGAGCTTCTACGCTAGTGAACTCCAAATACTTTTGGACTAGTAAAAGAGAATTGCATATTAAATTGTTAATTATGACAATTATCGTTAAAATAATTAATTTCGGAATTATGCTTATTTGGAAGAGTGAAATATGATTTGTATATTATAACAATTAACGTTTTTAATGACGGGTTCAATTTAATTTATTTTTAAAAACAATTTCTAAAAGAAAAGAAATACATTTGATGTTAAATATTTAACGTATGCAGTATTACCAATCAAGTAAGAACTTTTGCATTCGATATTTTAATTGTATAATTATGATAAATCGTAGCATGTGCTTCATCTAGTCTCGCTTTCGTCTGGTATTTATTAACAGCGATCGAGCTTGAATTTTCTGTATACTAGCCCTTTCACGATGATAGATAGCATTGAGAACTCATTGTTATGTGGAAGTGCAAATTTGCGCAGTATACAGTGCATAGAGCAATTTTGCAAATGGCTATAGTGACCAATTTGTTGCGAAAAGATTTAAGAAGATAAAATATTTTAAATAATGCATTAGAGAGCAAATTAATTTTATTAATATATAATTAATAAAAAATATGTATTCATTCATGCTTTGATACGTAATACATTTCAAAATATGAATAAATGCATATTTAAAAAAATTTTAAATTATTTAATAGTAAAGTTTAGCAAGTAACTAAAATTTGTAAAGTTTACATTGCAAAACAGATATAGGCATAGATCATTGTAAAGCTGGATATCTACACAAAAAAATGTCCTGTATAAAAATTTTTAGATACAATCATCCTTAGTATGTGCTCGGCATTGGGCGACTATAATTATCCTTAGTAACGAAAGGGCTAGATCAAGAGTTCCTAGTTGAAGCGATTGTGATACGTAACTATGAAAATGTTGTGTGTCCCTCTCCCACTTTTCCAAAAAAGTATATGCATGTAATCGTATAAGAGGATGTTTATCGAAAAAGATCTTTTTGTTTTGAAGTATTTTATGCAACACACGATAGCTTTGAGTGCTTCACTGCCACATACTTAGATGCGAGAACTTGGTTTCTCGAAAAATAATTGTACATATAGCCTATACAATTGACATTGTGCGAACATATTTCTCGATTGCTTATATATCTTCCTTAAAATAACTGCACTAAGAAAGAAAAAAAGAAAAGTAGAGATAATTTTTACATTATCACTCATTTCGTTACTAACTGTTTATAGCCACATTTATATGAATGCGTATTATTATTTACATTATGCTGCTCACATACTTTTACATTACCACTTGGTTCTTTTTATTACACAGCTGCTCTACTGTCATTTATAATTAATGTTCATTTTTTATTAATAATTAATCTGCCGTTCTTCCCTCATTCCTATTTTTCAAATCTTTGTGAGAGAGAAGTTTAAAGAATTATTCTAAAATAAACATACATATATATATATATAATATATACAGAGAAGAAAATTTTAATAAACATTTTTTATGCTACAAATTTTACATTTGTTTGTCATGTTTACTGTCTTTTACCGCACGCAAGAATTCTTGTAGCTGCGCACATTGTATACGAAATATATTAATGATTTACTTAAAATTGTCAAATTTGTAATATCTTACATCTATTTTTTTTCCAAGATTTATTACTTATTGCAAGCAACTTATGTTTTTTAATTTTTATTAAATATTAATCTATTGTGTGTGTGTAGAATAATTATTATCTTGATCTAGAATGATTATTATCTGGATCAAATATTTATATCTTGCTCCATTCTGATATCTTTGTTTTACAAACTAATTGTAAGTAAAAGAATTGCGAACGACTTTGTTGTCAAGAAAGAATTATATATAAATAATTGTTAGAAAAGAAATCTAATCGTTTACTTTTTTTTACCATTACACAGCATCTGCAAACAATATAATGAAAGAGATATTGTATGCAATTTATAATATTGATGAAACCGAATAATGTTATAAAAATACTTGTTAGTTATCAACTTTATTTACAATTCTTTTTTCATAAAGAGAGAAAAATCAAAGATTTCGCGTTCTAGATGCACACTCCGATTTCTGAATGATTTCTCGTAGCTACAATATACATGTAATTCACGTAGCTATATGCAAATTTTCATTGATGCCGACGCGACGTGCGCGATGGCGAGCTTGGCGCAGGCGGGAGGGGGGAGATATTTTTACGTCACGGTGCGTGGTGGCGAAAGTGTCGTGAGAAGAAAAGGGATAGACTGATGGAATGACAGAGAGGGATATCGGTTATTGATTCCGCCGTCCACGCATACACGACCGACACAGCGGCATACATAGGTACTTTTGACGTTTGTGTCGGACGAGCGGAATAATCTCGCGCACCAAGCAAGTTCCGTGCGATGGTTTAACACCGGACGGTGTTCGCCGTCTCTTTCGGTGCGCGTCAAGTGGCGTCGAGTCATCGAGCCGTTCGCAGACAAAGCAGTTTTCGTACTTTTCGTTCTTTTCGTGCGCGAAGGTGATACTCCGACGCGAAAGAGCATTATAGGTTAAGATTCTGGAACTGGGCAAGGTCCGTTTCTGCCGCGGTTAAATGAAATATCGCGTCCACAGCCGCGCGAAAATGGACAACGTGGCGGCAACCGCCGAGTGCGCGGATGCGATGACACTGAATTTCGGCCCATTTGAAACGGTGCATCGATGGCAACGCATGCCGGAGTGCGCCGAGTTCGTTGGCGCCAGGTAAGGCAATTGACCTGCACTTGCTGTTCTAACGAGTCTCTTTGCTGCTTCCTGTAGATTCCCGGATACACAGATGACGCAGTGTAACACAGTGAATCATTACATCTTTATTGTTTGCCAAACAAAGATGAAATGATCACTATATTACACATCTTTGTTTAATGTAATAAATAACAAAGATATAATAAATCCGTTTTTTTATTCCTGCATTAAACTGCATCAGAATATTTTCTTTCTTACTTTTATAAAATATTAAATATATATTTATTTTATTTAAGTTCTTAATATGTATTAGTTAAGCTATTGAAAACAGATCTATGTGGATTTACTGCATTATATGTACTGTGTCTCTTACTCGAAAGCGTCCTCCGTCTCTCCATTATTGTTAATGCAGTTTGACGGAATATTATGAGTGAGTGATTGAGTGAGTGATTGAGTGAGTGATTGAGTGAGTGAGTGAATGAGAGAGAGAGAGAGACGTAATTTATATTGTGTTCATTATATATTCAAATAAACTTTATTATACATTTCAAAGATAGATTTGACAAAATAGTTATTAATAGTACAATCTGATTAATTATCCCTTTGTTTTCTCTTACAGTCGCAGCAAACACACTATGGTGGCGTACAACGATGATATTTACGTTTTTGGTGGTGATAATGGTAAGAAGATGCTGAATGATGTACTTCGCTTTGACGTGAAAGAGAAGTCCTGGGGTAGAGCATTAGCTACTGGCGTATTACCTACATCACGTTACCACCACTCTGCAGTCATCCATGGCTCATCGATGTTTGTATTCGGTGGTTATACAGGGGATATACACTCTAATTCCAATCTTAGTAATAAAAATGATCTGTTCGAGTATTGCTTTCTGACTGGTCACTGGACACCATGGAGATTTGATGGAAAGTAAGTATTACTTGTATTGTAAAAACTTTCTTATGTGATGTCTAATATTTTAATATTGTTTTCTGATATTTTTAATCAAACTTATCAAACTATAATGTATTTATAGGGCTCCAGTACCTAGGTCTGCTCATGGTGCTGCTGTATATGATAATAAATTATGGATATTTGCGGGCTATGATGGCAATGCTAGGTTGCATGATATGTGGACGATATCATTATTGGTAGGAGATGTGTTTTATGAATATTTTCAAATTATACATATTACATATAGTAAATGCATGATATTAATGCTCATTTTCATTAATGTAGACCAATTTTGATCTCATTTCAACTTAATTTTTTTTTTCTGTTTCTAAAAATTAGAAAAAAAGTAAGTTGAATCGAAATTAAAGTTAATCTATGCTGGTGTGAAAACAGGCATTAGTTTATATAATCTTAAACATAATCTTATAACGCACTTTTAATTTCACTAATTCGATGTTTGTCACTAGCCTGGTGAAAACAAAGCGTGGGAGGAGGTCGTACAAGTTGGTGAACGTCCACCGACATGTTGTAATTTCGCCGTCACAGTGGCTCGAGAATCGATGTTCGTTTTCAGTGGTCAGAGCGGAGCTAGAACAACTAATAGTCTCTTCCAGTTTCACTTTAAGGAGAAACGGTAAATGTCGTTATAACATATGTAGACTACGATGCATATTACATTATATTCGTAAACTTGAATTATATTCTGTTTATCTTTCCTAGGTGGACGCGCATATCGACGGAGCATATATTGCGTGGCGCACCACCACCGCCCGCAAGACGATACGGTCATACGATGGTCAGTTTTGATCGTCATCTTTACGTTTTTGGCGGTACGGCTGACTCAGCTCTGTCCAATGAGCTCCATTGTTATGACCTTGATACGCAAACGTGGAACGTTATTTCACCGTCCACAGACAGTGAGGTAGATGATTTACAAAGATGAATTTAAGCTAAAGTAAAGACGAATGATTGCAATAGGAACGAATACAATAAGCTTTTTTTTATACTTGCTAGTAAATGAAACGTATTTGTTAATGCAAATTTGCACATGTTTGTACTCTTTGTGTTATTTACATTCATCAAAATAAATTGCTGATTTGTTCGCATTTTTCTGTTTTTGGATTTATCTTACAATTAGTATATTTGCGAATGTTTCTCCACAATATGTTACAAGAGATTATAAATGAGTTTTGTTTTTATAATACATAATGCATGCACACAGGTACCATCTGGTCGACTTTTCCATGCCGCTGCTGTGATCGGAGATGCGATGTTCATTTTTGGAGGAACCGTGGACAACAATATACGCTCTGCAGAGATGTACCGCTTCCAATTCTCGTCTTATCCTAAATGTACATTACACGATGATTTCGGTAGGCTACTAAATTTGAGCCTCTTCTGTGACGTGGAATTCATAGTGGGCGAGCTGGAAACCAAGATACCGGCGCATATAGCCATGGTGGCGGCGCGTTCGCAATTTCTTCGGACGCTCATTCGTCAAGCGCGCAACAAACGAGACAAGCAAAAACTCATTGATGTGCCCACTAACGTATCGTCACTACTGGAGGTAAACAATTTAGCAAAAACAGAAATAAAAAATTATATATGATTTTATTTTACAAATTTTTATGAAAGATAAAAAATATATAATTAAAGAAAAAATATAGGTCTGTTTTTTTTTCCAGTTAAACTTTTTATCTTACATTTATTTTTTTTCTTTTTCTCTGTGAAGAGAAAAAGAGGAAAATGAATGATGTGAGAAGTTGAATTCAGCTGAAAAGAACAGACCATATTTTTACTATAAAATCTATTTATATATTTTACCATAAAAATCTATATATTTACTATAAAAATCTCTTTATATTTTTCCTTTGTTTTATTTTGGCTGTTATATTGCAGGTGAGATTAAAAGATGCTGTACCAGAAGCTTTCAAAATGGTGCTGAACTATATTTATACCGATCGTATCGATCCTAAAAGACTAGATGACAGGATTGAGGACCCACAGAGTAATCGTATTGTACTTCTTATGATAGACGTCTATCGTCTCGCCGAGCAATTCCATATGAAACGCTTAGAACAGTTGTGCATTAATTACCTTGAAGCAACCATAAGCCACACGAATGTCTTGGAAGCGTTGTGCAACGCCGTACACTTGAAATTGTATTTTATAAAGGACTTTTGTCTCAGCTTTGTTGTGAAGGATAATAATTACGGTCT